TCCTCCCTTTTGTCAGAAGGTCCCCCTCTGCCAGCACCCTGGTCTCAGCCATTCCCATCTCTCACCTGGGACAACACAGTAGCCACTGGGAGGTCTCCCTGCCTCTTCTCTAGCTGCCACACAGCAGCCAGTGGTTCTGTACACGTACAACACAATGGCATGCCCTCTTCTCACACCTCCAAGGTTATCCCCCATCATCCTTAGGCCTCAGGTTACATCTCACCTCCCATAAGCCCTCCCCGAGCCTGTCCTAATTTGTTTCATTCTGTGAACACCTCTGTATTCCTTCCAAGAGCATTCTTTCCACTGTGTCCTAACTCCTCTGTCCCGCAGCTTCCTGAGCTCAGAGAAGGCAGGAACTGTGTCCATCTGTTAAATCCATCCCAAGAGCATGGCACCTTGTAAATATTATGTAAAAAACCTGTGAATGTACTGTCCTCCCTTCCCACCCCCCGTTTCTAGACAAACAATATTATCAGATCCAGGAACAAACTGCAAAGGAAGGAAAAGGAGGTAAAATTCTCACAGCTCATTAATTGTTGGAAGAAGTTCCCAAATGGACCCCAGATGTTCTAAAGATCTACAGTTTGATGAGCCATTTTGCTTCCTTGTCAAATGTCCTGTTGAGGCAAAAATAAAGCTGCAGGAAATCTTGTGACACAAAGCCGCTGATTGCCCTTGTGGCTTGTGTGTGTCGCAAATGAGCCTTGGGTTTAGGGACCCGTGTTCACCCAAATACCTGGATGGCCTTGCCCTGGGGCCCAGATGAAAGTTAAGAATTTGAGAGGATGACTCATCAAATCTGGGGTTGCTGTTTACAGCCAAAGGCAGTAACACAAGAGCAGGGAGGAGTTTTTCCCTGAAACGAAACCGAAAGAGGCAAAGTTAACTGCTTGAGCTGGGGTAGGACTAGCAGTCCCTCCCTCAACAGGGCTGAGGATGGCTGCGCCTGGCTACTTCCCGCTGCTGGTAGAGGGATCCTGGGGTCCCGATCCCCCGAAGAGCTTGATCACCAAGTTGCAGTTGTACTTCCAGAGCCAGAAGAGATCCGGAGGCGGGGAGTGTGAGGTCCGACAGGAGCCCGGCAGCCCGGCCCGCTTCCTAGTGCTCTTCCACCCGCTTGACGGTGAGGGGCGCCGGGGTGGGGGGAGGAGCGGGTTGCAGAATGGACCAGAAATGCGCGGGGTCCCTGCGTTCCTCTGCCCAGTGCTTCTAGGAACTCAGAGGTGCTGCCTCTGCCTGGAGGTGGCTGGTGGGAGCAGAACCGCGCCAGGGAGAACAGAAAGGCACTGAGAGCCTGGGTACTCGCCTCATTTTACAAGGCTAATAGTGCGTTAATGTATTAATACACAGAGTGCTATGGCAGAGTTACACCTCTTGCTCTTTTGGACTTCTGCTTATTAAGGCAGCAGTTCTAGAACTCCCAATGTTTATGGGAACACGATTTTAAGAGAAGAGAAAGTTTCCAGGGATCAAAGTCCAACTATACCTTAGGGAGATAAATTTGGTTGAAAATAGGCACATTGGTTTCTGTTGGGAGAGACCATGAAAATCCGACCTTTGATGGTATCTACGTGCAGTTATTCTGAGTGAGGATAGGTGAGTCCTTAACAATGAAAGTCAGTGTGGGGCTGGAAGAGACATATTGTGTGCTGTTGTGGATTTGGTAACTGATTCTCTGGGAATGGGCAGTGCAATTGAGAGGGAGGGAGAGAGAGCCCCTCTTCTTTCTGTTAATATTTGGGGGAGGGGAGAGGAAGGAAAGGGGCTAAGCAATGGGAGGAGCCATGAGATTTCCCCATGTATTGTGGAGCTTTCCAGTGGTTCTGGGGTCACCTGGGGAGGGGCAGAGGCCTGCTTAAAATCACATTTCCTGGGTGACATAGAGAGAGTTATTGGAGGGAGATGACAGCTTGCTCCTGATCACCACTGTCTTCTTTGGTCATTCGCTGGCACCTGTCACTCGGTTTCAGGCTGGTCCTCAGACTGGCTTGAAGGAGGTTGAGAGTTTTGAGCTTTTGAGGGGGAAGTTCCCCACTTACAGGCAGTTGTGCAGCTGAGTTCTCTCCTCCCGTTTGCTTTTGCTGTTGAAGAAAAGGGGAGTCCCTGGCTGGTGGGTTCAGTGGTTAGAGCATTGGCCAGTGCACTGAAGGGTTGCAGGTTCAATCCCGGGTGGATGTGTTTCTCTCACATCGAAGTTTCTCTCTCTCTCTCTCTCTTTCTCTTTCTCTCTCTCCCATTCACCTCCTTTCCACTCTCTAAAAATCAATGGAATAAATACCTTCTGGTGAGGATTAACAACAATAACAACAACAACCACAACAAACACACACAAAAAAGAAAGGGGGAGGACGAATACCAAACATCTGCTTGCTTAAGACAACCACCAGGTCCTTTAGGGGGAAGCACGTGACCAGACACTCCCAGAGCACACACTTTTCCATTGGAATCTCCCAGGAGAGGATGTGGACAACTCCTAATCCCGCTTTCTTTTCCTGGATTTGAAAAGTCTTTGGGCCAGAGGAGAGGAAGGGAGGCTTACAAGGCCATGAGAGCAATTGGAAAGCTTTAAGCAAGGATCCAGAAAGGAAAGATTTAACCCAGAGAGGAAAGGGTACACAGAAGAGTGTGAAAGAAGTGAGGCGGGCAGGGGGCAGGAGACAGGAGACCTGCTGGGCCCAGAGCTTTGTGAAAACAGGTACATAGTTTCCCAAAGATTAATTTCACCAAGGAATGCACAGAATTGCAGCTATATGATATAAGGCATTTCCTCAAGGGATGTTACCACTTTGATTCCAACTGTTAGCATCACCAAGATTCTGGCCCTTAGCAACTCTTCTTTCTTCTCTAGTATCTCATTAACCCTCAGCAGGTTAAGCAGACACAGCCCAGCTCTGTCCTAGAGACTCAGGAACCCTGAGTGTGGGTGGGTGAGGGTGTCAGCACTTTGAACCAGCACCTTCAGTGACTCTGAGGCACTAAAATTTGAGAATGCTGGTTGTTGATGTCCCTGGATGAACAAAATGGGAGCCCATTATAGGAAATACAAACAGCATAGACATACAAGCAGTGCAAAATGTGATTCTGTGATGATATCATCATTCTGTTCTAGCCCTCAAATTAGAACCTATTTCAGTCTCCTGCCAGGTTTCTTCCTTCACCTGTTCTCGC